GTAAGAATTTACTTCTTCCCTGAAGGACTAGGCTTACTTAGCGGCCCTACTAAGTTTACCCCTTCCCGGTAGTAGGGTTTCTCTACTATGGGGAGTGTGGCAAAAATAACCTTGCCACTGGGTTTTGGAGGGGCCTGTTTTTTCCAGCCTTTTGCCTCAGGATTATGGGCCCTGCAAAAAGATATGCTAAAACATCTATTTGGGCTTATTGGATTTTAAAATACTTTGCTGTAACAGAACTCCCCGTACTCCGACTGAGTACCTTCCGCTGATGGACACCTCCTAGCCTGCACCGAGGATCACAAGCACCGCACCGGACACCACAACCACCGCAGACTCCACAACTTCTGTAGCTTACCTGGAGTCTCGCCATCTACTGTCCAAACTGGATCAGCTTCTGTCCTCCAGGACCGTGTGGGGTAGACCTCTCCTCCAGAGTGTTTCAGGAATAAGCTCTTAAAAGAGCTAAGTGATTAAAGCTCAAGGGAGTATGCAGAGCATAGCAATCCCCAGTGTGATATAGCAGTTCCCTCCAATAACGAGACGAGGCTACGTTTTTGAAGGGTAAAGAAGAACTGACTGTACTGGCACATACAGCCTCTTTTATTCACATTCTACAAACATAGTACCCACAGGGTTTTGAAGAACAACCAATCAACACATTACAACACAGCTAACACTCCCATTCATTACATCAGAAATCCTCCCCTCTGCCTGTGATACAATTATCTCAACACAAAAGACTAACTTAATTATCACAGGCAGGAAAATACAGTATTATAAAACATATCACAGGGACCCCAAAACATGCAATAACCCCATAAATATATCCTCGGAACCGGGGGATCTGGGTGAACCACATATCCAAAATTCACCCAGATCCGTTCAGTAGTTTGGAAGATACGGTTTAATGCAGATTCCGCAGAACATATACAGGCTATATGAAAAATAATTACTGTTAAATGTGTCCCCTGTTCTGTAGTTTAAAACTACTGAACGATGTCTTTGTGCACCAAATACTGGCGAGATGGCACCGAGTAGAAAAGTCAAAACAGTGTCTGTGAGTTAAAATGGCCGCCATCCATTGTTCTCACCATGTGCTTCATCCATTATTCTCACCATGTGCCTCTGATACATGAAATGGTGGCCACCCAGTAACTCCACAGTTTGTCTGGTAGTCTATCCAGCTGAACCAACAGATGAAACACATGGGGAACAGTGCAACAAACGAAGGGAATCATAAAAAATATGGACAATAGTCATATTTGTGCACAATCTCCAGTTTTGTCACAGGGCACAAATAGTGTTTTCAAATGCCATATATCCCAGGGCCATAGTCAGAAGGTAGGAGGCGGGCAAGCAGCCCCCTCCAAGAACAGCCCCCTTTAAATCCATGGGAAAATGTGCCTCTTCCCCTCCCCCTTTTTCCTGTCCTATTGTTCTCCAGCAGGGCATTGTCCCAGGGACACTGCCAAACCAGTTGAAACTGGCTGATTTGTCCTCCTCAATCTCTCATCAGCCCTTGCTATTGTTTAACCCCATGGCGATCCAACTGTATTTGTGAGGGATATGTTGGACATATAGGTTAAACATTGTATTATAAGAGTTATTTATTTTTATGTGGTTTTTGTAACAGTTTTTGACTTAGAGATAGTTCCTGTTAGTGGAAATAATTAAGTTACCACAGCCACTTAAGCCAATTATCACCAGGATAGAGGAGAAGATAGACCGGCAACACAGCCTAAATCTGTTTTGGGCATGAAAGCCATGCTTGCGGTCGGTCAAATATGACTTCCAGGAATTTCCTGTCTCCCTACTCTGATCTGGGTGATTTTGGGATATGTTGTTCACCCATATCAGGGCTGTATAATTTATGGGGATATGTGGTGTTTTGGGGTGTTTTCTGTGTTTTGTGAAAAATGTGTTTTCTGCCTGTAGGTAATTGAGTTAGTCCATTGTGTTTGTTAATTGTATCACAGGCAGAGGGGAGGGTTTCTGTACATTATCTTGGAGTGTCCATATGTACAAACCTGTTTTGATTGGCTTTGTAACTTTGTATCCTGTGTTCCACATGTGGGTGGTAACTGTAACGGACCGTTTTGCACACAAGGGGTAAAAACTGTTTAGGCGATCGGCCCTCTTTCCAGAGATACAGGCACAGCTACTGCAGAACACCAAACTCCCGAACTGGATACAAAATAGCACTCCAACTTCCGAACTGGAACCTCCCAAATAGCTGCAAGCAGACGAACAGGAAAAGCAGACAATCAGCTTACACTCCTGGCAATCAGTCTCTAACAGCATACAGTGAATCCCCCCAAGAACGAGACAAGGCTCCGTGTTGAGGGTCAAGCAGTGGTCTGAGGTGCTGGCACACCCAGCCTGGTTTTTATTACAGTCTTTTCAAATACAGGACCGCCCACAGGGAGGTAAAAAAAACAACCAATCACATATCAGTTAGATCCCACATATTCCCTTCCCTTATCCTGAGAGGAAACTCAATTACACATACAGTTAAAACATACTTTCTACCCAACTTTCATAACTCTAAAACCATACATCACATTCACATAAAATTACATATTCACAATCAATCCATTCAGGGGAACAACATATTAAAAAATGTCATGAATCAGACCAGGGGTTCAAAAGTTAGTAAAAGTATCTTTTGAGCCCTGGCTGGCACATGGCTATCTGGCTCAAACAGGTTTTACAGAGACCTCTAGCCTGGAGACAATGGGGAAAATAATCCAATTATCCAGGGATAGAGGCAGACTCCATTGAGCACATGGTTGCAAAAAGACATAAAACACTTTAAAATACATAAAGTCACCTTTTACACATAACACACAGACAGTTCACATATCCCCAGATAGCTGGGATCTGAGCGCACAAAACTACCGAATAGTGCTCAGATCCTATTCACACAGTTCAATTGCCATGGAGCCGAAGTCTTTAACTTCCACGAATGGGCTCCATGGCATAGCTATCTGGGTTAACACATGTACATAAAGTCTGGTCCATAGTCCAAAGGCAGCAGGCTTCTCCAATGCAATGTGGCGAGATTGCTCTCGTCACAGTAACCTTGTCACAGTAACCTTGTGGGAAAACCCTGTATATAAGAGACAATAAACCCTCAGACTGCTGAGTTCCTGTTTTACCCTCAGCATAGAGCCTTGGCTCATGTGTGGGGGAAAAGGCTGCATCTACACTGGGGGATTGCTAAACTCTGTATACTCCCCATGGCTATAATCACTAAGCTCTTTTAAGAACTTTTTCCTGCTTCATTCTCTGAAGGAAGAGAGGTTCACCCACTGGAGCCTGGAGTCTTGTTGTAGGTCCAGGGTGGGTAGGAGACGGCGAGACCCCAACCAAGCTGCAGCGGTTCGTGGGGTCTGCAGTGCTTATGGTGTTGAATAGAGTGCTTAGAGCCCTCGGGAAGCACTAGGAGCATCCATCAACGGAGGTACCCATTCGGGGTGCCCGGTGATCCAGTACAGGGAGGGATCTAAGTTTAGCCTAAGGATGATCACCCTCTTTCCTATTCTCTGACACACATCACATTTTCTACAGTATTCCTGTAGTCCCGGGTGAGTCCAGAACAAAAGAACCCCTTTGTTAGCCGGTCCCTATTCTTTTTTATGCCTAAGTGTCCTGCTAAGGGGATATTGTGACTGATTCTTATTGTCTTTTGGTCACTTAGTTTGCCCCCCGGTTCCTCCGGTCACCTGGTATAATAGTCCCTTCTACCATTGGAACCATTCTTGATCTAAGTCCCCCTGTGGGGTGTCTGCCTCCCGCCTATACCCATCTAGTGTGGGATCCTCTCTCTGATACCCTGCTCCCCAGTAGGGAGCGGGGCTTATGGCCGGGGTCAGGGTATCAGTTCCTACCTGGGATTCCTGAGAGTGTGAGGCGTCCATTGCTCGAGTCTGCTGCCGACTGGTTACAGGTAGCACTCCCTCTAAAGCTGGTGGAACAAACTGGGAGGTTAAGCACCCCAAATCATTTCCCAGGAGTACTTCCACCTAAGTCTGGCATAATTCCTACTTCCAGGGACTTAGCTCCGCTACCCCAATCAATATGCACCTGGGCTGTAGACAATTTCTGGATGGCCCCTCCAGCCACCCTAACGGCAACGGTGCGTCCAGTATGTTGGGATGGACTGACTCTGTGTGGCTGTACCAGGGTCAGCGTAGCCCTGGTGTCACACAGTCCCTGGGCCTCTTGTCCATTCAGTCCAGGGCGTTTTAGCCGCGAGGCAAGCAAGGCATTTGTCTTGGGCGGCATTTTTCAGGGGACGGCAAAAAAAGCCACCCCCCAAATGCCCAAGGCAAATGTCATGTTAGCCTCGCGGCTAACAGACATGCTGGGCACCGGGCGGCATTGGCAGGCGGGCGGCTGACGAGGGAGCTTTTCCTGTGAGCTGATGACATCATATCCCGGCTCCCAGCCTCACTCTGCGGCGCGCGAGGGAGCTGAGCAGTCAGCTCACAGGAAAAGCTCCCTCGTCAGCCGCCCGCCCGCCAATGCCGCCCACCCAGCAGCCACTGGACCACCAGGGAGATAGAGAACCCCTTCCCTCCCCAGCACTCCCAAAGGTAAGGAGGCTGGAGGGGGGGGGGAGGTTTAAAAAGTACATGTGTTAATGTGAGTGAGTGTGTGTTAGTGTGAGTGTGTGTTAGTGTGTGTGTCTGTTAGTGAGTGTGTGTTATTGTGTGTGTTTGTTAGTGTGTGTGTGTCTGTTAGTGAGTGTGTGTGTCTGTTAGTGTGTGTGTCTCTGTTAGTGTGTGTGTGTCTGTTAGTGTGTGTGTGTGTGTTAGTGTGTGTGTGTCTGTTAGTGAGTGTGTGTGTGTGTCTGTTAGTGTGTGTGTGTCTGTTAGTGAGTGTGTGTTATTGTGTGTGTCTGTTAGTGTGTGTGTGTCTGTTAGTGAGTGTGTGTTCTGTTAGTGTGTGTGTGTCTGTTAGTGTGTGTGTGTGTCTGTTAGTGAGTGTGTTATTGTGTGTGTCTGTTAGTGTGTGTGTGTGTGTGTCTGTTAGTGTGTGTGTGTCTGTTAGTGTGTGTGTCTGTTAGTGAGTGTGTGTGTGTCTGTTAGTGTGTGTGTGTCTGTTAGTGTGTGTGTCTGTTAGTGAGTGTGTGTGTGTGTCTCTTAGTGTGTGTGTCTGTTAGTGAGTGTGTGTTAGTGTGTGTGTGTGTCTGTTAGTGAGTGTGTGTCTGTTAGTGAGTGTGTCTGTTAGTGTGTGTGTGTGTGTGTGTCTGTTAGTGTGTGAGTGAGTGTGTCTCTGCTAGTGAGTCTCTGCTAGTGAGTGTGTGTGTATTTAGAAGGCGGGGGGAAGGGATGGGAGGGGTCAAGCGCGCGGGGGGGAAGGGATGGGTGGGGGTCGCACGCGCAGGGGCGGTTAGAGGGCGCCTGAGTTTTGTCCTGCCTAGGGCAGCACAAAACCAGGATACACCACTGATTCAGTCATACCACTTGACTGTGGTGAGCCCGGTTGTTGCCGGCCGCCTGTATCGGGTTAACCTCATGGAGTACTGCCCAATGTTCTGTGTTGTGTCAAGATTAGGGGTATACACACTGACCCCCTTCTGTTCTCTTATATAGTCCTCCTGGACGCAATGTGCTGCTGCCCTTGTCAGTGGTGCTGGTTGTCGCCCCCATTTGTCTGGGCCATATTGTGGGCAATTAGGCTTGATGTGCCCTATCTGGTTGCACCCGTAGCACATTGATGCTGCTTTCCGATACCTGGCTGCTGGGGAAACCCTAGGTGGTAGCGTGGGGGCAGAAGTATATGTAGGAGGGTGATGTCCCGGTGGTGCTCAGTTGCCGTCAGTCCGTCTGCCCTCGTGGAATTCATCGGCCAATCGTGCAGCCTCTTCCACTGTCTGGGGCTTGCGGTCTCAAACCCAATCTCTGACCTCTGGTGGGGTGTAGTCAAAAAATTGTTCCAGCAGTAATAATTGTAGGGCATCCGTCAGAGTGGTCGCCTGGCACCCCTGAATTCAGTTGCGGGCAGCGTGGTGTATGCTTGAATGCCCATTTGGTGTACAAATCTCTTCCTCCTTTCCTGAGACCCCGGAATATTCTCCGGTATGTCTCCGGCTTGGCCGCATATCTGGCTAACAGTATCTCCTTTACTTTTTCATAATTTTGTATATCCTCATCCGGCACTGCCCTGTAGGCTTCGGCTGCTCTGCCTGATAGTTTGCTGCTCCGTATTGCAACCCAGTTAGCCTTCTCCAGATCCTCTAATGCACACTGATGTTCAAAGTTTTGTAAATAATTATCAATATTCAGTTCACCATCTGTAAATGCTTTGAACGGTGCATAATTGACTTTCCATGGCTGTCCATTCGTAGATCCATGTAGCAATATCACATCTCCTTGTAGTAATCCTGTTTCTTGGTTCACGGGCCTTCTGTGCCTCTGTCGCTTGTGCCATGATTTGTACAATAATATCCTGCAATGGATTGGGCCCCACAACACTGAGTCTCCATCTCACATCCTTTTGGAACTCTGTTATCCATTTGAACGTTACTGGTTCGGTCACAACCTACCAGTTCGGCAATTATCGTGGCTTTCAGTTTGTTACTTGCCACTATGCCTCGAGCTTCCAGTAATTCCTTTAAAGTTGTTTGTTTAAGCCATTCGTATCTGTGAGCCATTCACTTCTTCTTTCGTTTCAGGACATCCATTTGGGAGAAAAATCCTGCCGCTTGCCACCAGTGTAACGGATCCCCTATATAGTATATCCCTGAAAAATCATCCAAAATCCAAGCATAGAAGTGATTGATACGGTTGCCCCAGGCTAGCTGAGGGTTGGACCGCCTGGATGTCCTGGTCCCTGAGCTGGGAGAGCGGCAAAGAGTTCCACTTCAGCAACTACTGATATTCCTGGAAGTGTAGAAGGTTCTTGTAGCTCTGAGCAGAGCTGGTTATTAGCATTTCCGAACAACACGATTCATGGCTGTGAGTTGAGGGTAAGAAGACTGGTTTATTGAACAACTTGCATTTCTTTTATACACATTTTCAGGCCAGGGGCACACCCCCTGGACCTGATGGAACACAGGGACATAAGGAACATAAACCAATCATAACAAAGTGAATTTTTCTAAACCCTCCCCTCTATCCTGGAGATAATTGGCTTAAGCGGGCATAGTAACTTAATTAACTCCAGGTACAGAAAATATCTTTAAGTTGAGATTGTAACAAAAACCACATAAAAATACATAACTCATATGATACACAATTCAACCCCTATGTTCAACATATCCCAGGATAGCTTGGATCTGAGCGCTCAATATGTCCAAAAAGCGCTCAGATCTCACGAATACAGTTGGATCGCCATGGGGTTAAAGTTTTCTCAACGGCAGTTCTGCATAATTTATGCCAGGATTAGTTCCACTATTTTTAATCATAGGGTCGGTCTAGTTTCGGGAGTATGAAAGTACCGAACGACGCTGCATTCGTATGTTTATAAACGAACAGATGGAAGTCTGGAGGTCTCAGCGTTCGGCAAGTTAAGATGGCTGCCACCACGTGTTCGTGCAGACGAACGACGACCTTCTAGCCGTTCATCAATTACGCTGCAGTTAACGGCAAACCGCAGCTTCTGGGAGGCTAATAAGCGGCACACTCCACAGGCAGGGTGGTCGGTCGTTCGGCATTTTATTTGGTGGTTTAGGGGTGAAAATGGTTAACAAGGCTTAATGGGCCACACTCTTGGGAGTCGTATTGTTCGTATGCTGGTTCGGCATATGAAAAGACATTTTGAGTTACTTTGTGGTTAGTAGAGGACAGGAACAGACCTATTGTAACAACACGAACAGCACGGCAGACAGAGGGTACTTGTAACAGTGATTATAATGAATTGTAACGGACCATTTTGCACACAAGAGATTAAAAACCGTTTAGGCGATATTCCCCTTTTAAATACACAAACAGCTGCTGCAAGCAACAATCTCCCGAATTGCAAACACATGAATACTCAAACTCCCAAACAGGAAACACACAAATTCACCAACTCCCGAACACACGAATGCTGTTAAACAGCCGAACAGGAAAAACAATACGAACTGCTTACACTCCTGGCAGTCACACTGTAACAGCATACAATCCAATTCCCCCCCAAGAATGAGACAACACTTCGTTTGAGGGTCAGGCAGAACTGATTTACTGGGGCTACCTGCCCGGCTTTTATGCAGGTCTCCCATCTGGTGGACACTCCCCTACAGGACCAGATGGAAGACTGGGAAACATATTGGACATTGACCAATCACAAGCTTACAATCCCACAATGCATCACAATCCCTCCTCTCTGTCCTGGAGATAATTGGGAAGTAATCCATTTATCTCCAAGGACAGAGGCAAAACTTCATTAACCACATGGCAGACAAAGGACAATAAAATACATACAATTACATACTTTTACATTTATCACATAGAACATACACATTCTACCTATCCCCAGATAACTTAGATCTGAGCGCACATTATTACCGGATGGCGCTCAGATCACATACATACAGTTCAATCGCCATGGTGCTTTCAAGAGCCAAGTCTTTCATACAGTCTTTCAGTATACGGCTGGGCTCCATGGCATAGCTTTCTGGGGTAGCATGGTTTAAACAGTAAAGTACCGATTGGACCGGTGTTTGGATAATTGACTGCAGGTAGGAGAAGGGAGGTTGGCGACTCAGCGGTGTTCGTGACTAAAACAGTCCGCAGAAAGGCATGAACCAGCCTGTCTGCAGGGAAAAAGAACAGTGTTAAACATGGGGCCATAGTCCAGTGGCAGGAGGCGGGCGACCAAGCTCCTCCAGTGGCCAGTGGCGAGGTTGGTTCCGCCACAGTGAATATAGCTCCCAATCCCCCAAACATGAGCCAAGACTTCATGAAGGGGTAAACCGAATGTGTTTAATGGTAGCCACAACTGGCCTTTTATGCAAGTCCCCATGCAAGGGCACTCCCCCCTGAACCTGAGAGTAGACTGCAGTGCAAACAATCACACAATGACATTGGCTCTCAGGTCCAGGACACTCCCACATAAAACAGGATAATTCCTCCTCTGTACCTGGCAGATAATTAAGTTAAGTATTGTATTAAACTCAATTATCTTCAGGTACAGAAAACATCTAGTTTTACAAAAATAAAATAAAATACTATAAAACAGACAAAATACATAATTCGCATAAATGAACCCCCATAGTCTATACATCCCCGGATAGTCTGGATCTGAGCGCCCAATATATCCCTCGAACAAAGCCGAATCGCCACCGAGGTGAACATCTGATCAACTGATCTTGAGGTGCCTGCCCAAAATAGTTCCACAGTTTCAAAGGTAGTGGTCGGTCAAGTTCAGAACTTATAAAATTAATGAAAAGGCAAATGGTTCCCGTGGATCATTGGTAGTGAGATCCATTCGAACAAACCTACCGAACAGAGCTGTCCTGGCTTGCCGCGAACAGAAGCAGGCTTTCGCATTGTTTTACCGGTGTTCATGCTATCGAGTGTCCATCTCGGAGTTCCAGACACTCAACGGTCAAGGCCCGCTGCCTACTTTCGTGCGACAAGATTGCGGACGTTTTTTCCACCACATGGCGTTCGGTAATATGAACGGCGGCCACAAAAAGAGAGCACTAAATTCCTATGGTTTCTTTGAACTTAATGAGCTGAGGGGTGGTCGGTGTTCGGTACTTTATAGTCTTGACTAGTAGAAGAATAGGGGAATCACAGATTAAGCAGTTTCCAGAACTGAGGAGGATAATTGCTTTGGGGAAGGCAAAATAGGGGTTTTGTCACAAATGGGTTATAGTGGGTGGTGGTGTGGATAACGATATGGCTATTGATGTGAGAGGAATGGCTTATACTGGGTGGTGGTGTGGATAACGATGTGGTTATTGATGTGAGAGGAATGGCTGATAGAGGGTGGTGGTGTGGCTAACGATGTCGTTATTGATGTGACAGGAATGCCTTATAGTGTGTGGTGGGGTGGCTAACGATGTGGTTATTGATGTGACAGGAATGGGTTATAGTGGGTAGTGGTGTGGATAACGATGTGGCTATTGATGTGAGAGGAATGGGTTATAGTGGGTGGTGGTGTGGATAACGATATGGCTATTGATGTGAGAGGAATGGCTTATAGTGGGTGGTGGTGTGGATAATGATGTGGTTTTTGATGTGAGAGGAATGGCTTATACTGGGTGGTGGTGTGGATAAAGATGTGGCTATTGATGTGAGAGGAAAGGCTTATAGTGGGTGGTGGTGTGGATAATGATTTGGTTATTGATGTGAGAGGAGTGGCTTATGGAAGGTGGTGGTGTGGATAACGATGTGGCTATTGATGTGAGGGGAATGGCCTATAGTGGGTGGTGGGGTGGATAATGATGTGGCTATTGATGTGAGAGGAAAGGCTTATAGTGGGTGGTGGGGTGGATAACGATGTGGCTATTGATGTGAGAGGAATGGCTTATAGTGGGTGGTGGTGTGGCTAACGATGTGGCTATTGATGTGAGAGGAATGGGTTATAGTGGGTGGTGGTGTGGATAACGATATGGCTATTGATGTGAGAGGAATGGCTTATAGTGGGTGGTGGTGTGGATAATGATGTGGTTATTGATGTGAGAGGAATGGCTTATACTGGGTGGTGGTGTGGATAAAGATGTGGCTATTGATGTGAGAGGAAAGGCTTATAGTGGGTGGTGGTGTGGATAATGATTTGGTTATTGATGTGAGAGGAGTGGCTTATGGAAGGTGGTGGTGTGGATAACGATGTGGCTATTGATGTGAGGGGAATGGCCTATAGTGGGTGGTGGGGTGGATAATGATGTGGCTATTGATGTGAGAGGAAAGGCTTATAGTGGGTGGTGGGGTGGATAACGATGTGGCTATTGATGTGAGAGGAATGGCTTATAGTGGGTGGTGGTGTGGCTAACGATGTGGCTATTGATGTCAGAGGAATGGCTTATACTGGGTGGTGGTGTGGATAACGATGTGGCTATTGATGAGAGGAAATGGCTTATAGTGGGTGGTGGTGGATAATGATGTGGCTATTGATGTGGAGAGGAATGGTGTGGATAACGATGTATTGATGTGATGAGAGGAATGGCTTATAGTGGTGGTGGTGTGGATAATGATGTGGTTATTGATGTGAGAGGAATGGCTTATGGAAGGTGGTGGTGTGGATAACGATGTGGCTATTGATGTGAGAGGAATGGCTTATACTGGGTGGTGGTGTGGATAACGATATGCATATTGATGTGAGAGGAATGGCCTATAGTGGGTGGTGGGTGGATGATGTGGCTATTGGTGAGAGGAAAGGCGATAGTGGGTGGTGGGGTGGATACGATGTGGCTATTGATGTGAGAGAGGAATGGCTTATAGTGGGTGGGTGGTGTGGATAACGATGTGGCTATTGATGTGAGAGGAATGGCTTATACTGGGTGGTGGTGTGGATAACGATATGGCTATTGATGTCAGGGGAATGGCTTATAGTGGGTGGCGGTGTGGATAACGATGTGGCTATTGATGTCAGGGGAATGGCTTATAGTGGGTGGCGGTGTGGATAACGATGTGGCTATTGATGTGAGAGGAATGGCTTATGGAAGGTGGTGGTGTGGATAACGATGTGGCTATTGATGTGAGAGGAATGGCTTATACTGGGTGGTGGTGTGGATAACGATATGGCTATTGATGTCAGGGGAATGGCTTATAGTGGGTGGCGGTGTGGATAACGATGTGGCTATTGATGTCAGGGGAATGGCTTATAGTGGGTGGCGGTGTGGATAACGATGTGGCTATTGATGTGAGAGGAATGGCTTATGGAAGGTGGTGGTGTGGATAACGATGTGGCTATTGATGTGAGAGGAATGGCTTATACTGGGTGGTGGTGTGGATAACGATATGGCTATTGATGTCAGGGGAATGGCTTATAGTGGGTGGCGGTGTGGATAACGATGTGGCTATTGATGTCAGAGGAATGACTTATAGTGGGTGGTAGTGTGGATAACGATGTGGCTATTGATGTCAGAGGAATGGCTTATAGTGGGTGGTGGTGTGGATAATGTGGTTACTAAAATGAGAGGAATGGTTGGGTGGCTATAAAATAAATAAATGTAATAAAGTCCTGTTTGCACAGTTTAAACATGTGGATGCGCGAGAGAGTGTTTGTGGAATATATTAAATAAATGAACATTGGGGAGATGATCTTAGAGAACATGAAGTGCGGTAATAATGAAAGTGGTGAGATTATAATATGAGCTAATGTTTGGAAATATGATGACAAGTAGAGAATACCGAGAGGTGGAATAAATTCCCCCTTAACCTGGTTTAAGTTGGGTTATTATACCAGTTACAGAGAGCCTTCCGATGACTTGACCTTTTTAAAAGGGTTTACAGAAACCCATTATAAGAAGATAGGGGGCTCGCTCGGGGCAGCAGAATGGCTGGCGGAAAGGTTCTAGGCCATTACTGTCACCGTATTTCAATTCGTCCTCTGTGAAGTCACATCCAAGGCTTGGAAACCTTAAACCCCGCCGTTAAACATGTCGGCTTGGGAGAATAAGAGGCAATAAGCGCCAAGAGATAAACTAATCATTTAGAACTCATAATTACGGGAGGTATCTTTGTGTGGCAGGCTGTTTATGGGTGCAATTTGAATTGAACTTTAAATGAAAAAAGCATATCTCTATAAGTGGTAATAATTTTAGTCATCTCTCGCTGGCTACGGGTTGTGGAATTCATTAGCACAGATTAACATATAAAGTGGGTAAGATATCTAATAGCAAATACAGAGGCTTCAGGGGCCCTAATTCAGCAAGGAATGAACAGCACGTTCAATATTAAGGGACTATGACATTTTTTAATTTACACAAAGCCTCCAAAATATAGCCATGCATTCAAAATCCCAAACAGATAATGGCACCCGCGCCCTGCATCCTGCCTCTCTATAACTGTTTCTCTCTCTCTCTTTTTTTTTTAGTTTTTTTTTTTTAAAGCTTAGCAAAGAAAGCTAATTATCCAGAGCACAAGGAGACAGCTAAAAATAATAAGATTATAGAGAATAATTTGCCAATATAATTACAACAAAATTGGGTACACACAATCGTAAGATACATGTATTGCTTGACCTGGGTGAAAAAGTGAAATACATCCTTCTATAGCCATAGTAAATGTGTTTTTATCATTTCTAAGTGGTGTTTGCGCAGCCAGCTCAATTTGCATGTGTAATGTGGCTATACAAATTGACAACAAGTAAATTATGCAGCGAAATAGGCTGTGTCTGAAGCTGAACTATCGCACAAGACTCTGTTCATTTTAAGAAATCAGTGAAACGTGGCGCTCGTACATCAGCCCCTCGCTGACTATCCTCAGACTTATTGTCTCCTAAAATGTCATTATGGCTATTATTTATGATGCTAATTCATTTATTAACTCTGACTTGTCGTACCATATAAAGGATCCCCGTTCCCGTATAAAAGAAGAGAGAGGAACGTATAGTGATGGTAGGTCCTCTCCCCACGCTGTGCTCGGTGTGTTCACCTCCTCTGCCTGGCTCTGATAGGACATGTATTGCGTGTTTCGGACAGTCTGGTGGAATCGAGAATGAGTGCAGCTGTGCTGGGAACGTATAGTGATGGCAGGTCCTCTCCCCACGCTCCCCACGCTGTACTCGGTGTGTTCACCTCCTCTGCCTGGCTCTGATAGGACATGTATTGCGTGTTTCAGACAGTCTGGTGGAATTGGGGACGGGTATAGCTGTGCTTAGAATGTATAGTGATGGTAGGTCCTCTCCCCACGCTCCCCACGCTGTGCTCGGTGTGTTTGCCTCCTCTGCTTGGCTCTGATAGGACATGCATTGCATGTTTCAGACAGTCTGGTGGAATCGGGGATGGGTATAGCTGTGCTTGGAACGTATAGTGATGGTAGGTCCTCTCCCCACGTTGTGCACGGTGTGTTCGCCTCCTCTGCCTGGCTCTGATAGGACATGCATTGAATGTTTCGGACAGTCTGGTGGAATTGGGGACAGGTATAGCTGTGCTTGGAATGTATAGTGATGGAAGGTCTTCTCCCCACGCTGTGCACGGTATGTTTGCCTCCTCTGCCTGGCTCGGACAGGACATGCATTGCGTGTTTTGGACAGTCTGGTGGAATTGGGGATGGGTATAGCTGTGCTGGGAACGTATAGTGATGGTAGGTCCTCTCCCCACGTTGTGCTCGGTGTGTTCGCCTCCTCTGCCTGGCTCTGATAAGACATGCATTGCGGGTTTTGGACAGTCTGGTGGAATTGAGGAAAGGTATAGCTGTGCTGGGAACGTATAGTGATGGCAGGTCCTCTCCCCTCACGCTGTGCTTGGTGTGATCGCCTCCTCTGCCTGGCTCGGACTGGACATGCATTGCGTGTTTCGGATAGTCTGGTGGAATCGGGGATGGGTATGGCAGGTCCTCTCCCCACACTGTGCCCGGTGTGTTCGCATCCTCTGCCTGTCTTGGATAGGACATGCATTGTGTTTTTTGGACAGTCTGGTGGAATTGGGGACGGGTGCAGCTGTGCAACATTGCTCACTAATTACTTGTGTCTAATTATTCAGATCTGAAACCTGGTACATCAGAGAGGAATCCATTAATCTCGGAGCAGCTTCTCTTTTGAAGGTAAAGACTTGTTATCCTGATTTTTAATATTATAATATGCAGCAATATTTATATACGAATGCTGACCTATAAACACACTCACCTATAATAGATATAACACACATAGAGAAATATACACAAAAGCACGCATAGACTGGGCTATTCACCTAACCACAAACAAGGCCCTGGGGTGATAGCGCAGCTAAGCGGACAAGGGCACATGTAGGAGTGTGGGGATAGATGCATGGGATTGGTTGGGACAGAGTGTGTGTGTGGGATTATGTTCTGTGTAAGTTAGTGTGGGGGAGGTCTTACCTCAGTGCCACTTGGGATTCGGGCCAGCTAACAGCTTCCCTCCCGCCCTATTAGTATATTTAGTCACAGCTAGCCGGGGGTATGTCCTTGCCAATTGAGTTCGAGGGGTTACGTTTAAGTATATGGAATGAGATGTGGTTATTGATGTGAGAGTTATAGTGGGTTTTTAATAGTGGGTTTTTAAGGTCTCAACCTCCCCTGCTTCAAAAGGTTAAACATTAGGTGGCCTGAGGTGTCGTGCCCATCGAGCGTGGATAAGGTCGGCTGATGGCAGGCATTGGAAAGATATGATTTTTATGACGGGGGGGGAGGTGAGACGAAGTGGTGATTAGGAACCACTGTATGTTTATTGTCAAGGACGGTTGGGTCACTGTATAACACTATGTGCAGTGGCGTCGCTGGGGGGGGCCAAAGGGGGCCATGGCCCCCCTACATCATGCTGTGCCCCCCCTTGGATCCCCCAAATGCCGGCAACTTGTTGGCCATGTGTTTAAATTATATTCCCTCGGGCTGTAACAATCTGTCACAGCCCGAGGGAATGCAGGATTTAGGTGCTGGGTGCTGTCTGTGCCCCCAAACGAAGCCCGCCTCCTGCACATAACCCCCGCCCCTGCCATTAAGCAGCAGACCATGCTGCTGCTGGAAAGGATGGAAGATGGCTGCCTGACCCCCAGCAACATCCTCCAGTGACAGGTAGGCTTAATGTGTGTGTGTATGGACTCAGCAGTCTGTGTGTGTATGGACTCAGCAGTCTGTGTGAGTGTGTATGGACTCAGCAGTCTCTGTGTGTGTGTCTGTGTGTGTGTATGGACTAAGTAGTCTGTGTGTGTGTGTGTGTGTGTGTGTATGGACTCAGCAGTCTGTGTGTGTGTGTGTGTAGCAGTCTGTGACTCAGCAGTCTGTGTGTGTGTCTGTGTGTGTGTATGGACTGAGCAGTCTGTGTCTGTGTGTATGGACTCAGCAGTCTGTGTGTGTATGGACTCAGCAGTCTGTGTGTGTGTGTGTGTGTGTATGGACTCAGCAGTCTGTGTGTGTGTGTGTATTTACTCAGCAGTCTGTGTGTGTGTATGGACTCAGCCGTCTGTGTGT